GCGGAGCTGGATGGAGGCCACAGCCCTCTCGGCTGCGTCCAGGGGCCCCTCGACGACCAGGGGGCTTTGGGGGTGCTCGTGGGACTGGGTGCGGAGCCGAACCCCGAACTCCTCCTGGATTTGGGCAGCGTGGCATCCGCCCTTTCCGATGACGACACCAATGTCCTCGGGAAGGACCTTCACCGGGAGGGCCACGCGCCGCTTGAGCAGGTCCTGCCGGACGAGCTCCTCCATCTCCCTGACGGCCCCGCGCACACTCTCCGACTGGCCTGAGACGGCGATGGGCGATTCCCTGTCCTTGGGAACGCTAACCCGCACTCCGTACTTCTCGGTGATGTACTTGAGGCGGGCGCCGCCCTTGCCGATGGCCTTGCCGTAGTGCTCGGGCGCGATGTCGGGCGAGGCCGTCTCATCAGACCTGCCGCGAACACAGTCCTCCGTGTGCTGAATGAAGGCGCGGGCGGCCTCTCGCTGGCCCTGGACGAGGAACGGCGCCACGAGGTTGCCGGCGTGGGGCCTGACGAGCTTCACGCCGTACTTCTCTGCGGCCTTGCGAGCCTGCTGGAGGAATCGCCGGCGGTCCTCCTCAGCGACGTAAAGCGGCAGACTCACGACGGAGTCCGCTGAGGCCTTCACTGCGGGGAGAGGCCTCTCTGCGCGGCGCCTCGGGGGCGCGGGCCGGGCCTTCCGGACGACGTCCTTGACCTTGCACATCTGGGCCGCGAAGGCCACGTCGTCCTCCAGGTCGGGCGAGGAATGCGAGGCGAAGGAGAGCTCGCTTCTCGGACTCATCTCCTTCCTCAGATGCTCGTCGAAGGACCGCGCTTCGCGTGTGGCCCTGGGGTGAGGAGGTGATCTGGAAGCGTCATGTGTGCGTATGGGGGTGTGTGTGAGAAGGAGTATGTGTGTGTATGTGTGTATGTAAGTATGTGTGTGTCTGTGTGGGTTTGTGTGGATGTGTGTATATATACATATATATATATATGTGTGTGTGTGTGTGTGAGAGAGAGAGAGAGTGAGTATATGTATGTGTGCGTGTGTGTATGTTTCGTGGGTGATAATAGTGATATTGAAAATAGAAATAATTATGATGATAATAATAATAACAACAACGACAATAATGAAACACTAATAATGATAAAAATGATTATGAAAGTCGTGATGATGATGCGGGGTTGGAAAGGGTTAAATAATATCTATTTATTTATTTATTTATTTTTTGTTATGTCCTCTTTGCGTAATTATTACATTCTCCCTCTCCTCTCTTTCATCACCATTCTTCTTAATCGGTTTCCCCCTTTATCGTCATGGTCCCTCTTCCCCCAGTTCGTACTTTATCCCTTTCCCTCTCCCCCGTCTTTATCTTCATGTTCCCTTCCTCCTCTTTATTCCCTTTCCCTTTCCTCTCCATTCGTACCCTTGTTCCTCCCCTTTTTAACTCTCTTCCTTTTCCTTTTCATTCGTACTTTTTTTCCTTTATCTTCATGTTTTCTTCTTCCCCTTTTATCGCTTTTCCCTTTCCCGTCATTCATACTTTTTTCCCTTTATCTTCATGTTTTCTTCTTCCCCTTTTTTATCTCTTTTCCCTTTCCTCTCCATTCGTACTTTTTTCATGTTCCCTTCTTCCCCTTTTTATCTCTTTTCCCTTTCCTCGTCATTCGTACTATTTTTTCTTTATCATCATGTTTTCTTCCTCCCCTTTTTATCTCTTTTCCCTTTCCTCGTCATTCGTACTTTTTTCATTTATCTTCATGTTCCCTCCTTCCCCCTTTTTATCGCCCCTTCCCTTCCATATCCCTTCGTAACCGTTATTGCAATCGAACATGCAACTTGCAAAAAAATGTTTTAATCGTTGTGGGGTCTAGGAGGGGGTGTGGGTAGGAGATAGGAGGGGTACGAGGGTTGGAGGGGAGTGGGTAGGGGTAGGAGGGGGGGGGAGGGGGAAGTGTTGGGGTAGGGAAGGGGGGTTGTGTGGGGTAGGGGAGGAGAGATAGGGGAGTGTAGGGGTAGGGGTACGAGGGTTGGGAGTGGGTAGAGGGGTTGTGTGGGGTGGGGGAGAGGGGTTTCGTGGGGAGGAGGGAGGAGGGGAGTGTAGGGTGTTGGGAGAGGGTTTCGTGGGGAGAGGGGTGGCGGAGAGGGTTGTTTGGGGTGGGTGTGGGGAGAGAGAGGTTGGTGGGTTGGTGGTAGGGGAGGGGGGGAGAGGGGAGGGGAGTGTGGTGTGAAGAGAAGAGGGGTTGTTTGGTAGTGGGGGGGAGGGGAGAGGAGTGTAGGGAGGGAAGGAGAGGAGGGGAGTCTGGCGATGGTGGTGCGGGGAGGGGAGTAGGGGAGTGGAGGGGAAGGTTTAGGGGTTGGGAGGGAGTAGGTGGTGGTGTGTGGGGGGGGAGAGACGATATCCCGAATTAAGATAGATAGACAATTAAATAGATGAGGCGGAGGATAAACAGAGGGTCTGGGAGCAAATGGAGAACCGAGGGAAGAGGAGAAACGTAGAGAAGTGAGAGAACGGATAAACGCTTTTCTCTTTTACTTATTCCTTCTCCGTCACAGGATCAATAATTCAGGAAGAAAAAAAACAAGAATAGATAAAATAAAGAAGAAAAAGACAAGAAAAATCAAAAAAAGGAAAAAAAAGACAAGAAAAATCAAAAAAAGGAAAAAAAAGACAAGAAAAATCAAAAAAAGGAAAATAGACATCAAAAAATCTAAAATAATTATAAGAAAAGTAACAAGAAAATAACTGTAAAAACATCAAAATCACAAAAGAAACAAAAAGAAAGATCATAGCCGCTAGCAGCACAAGAACAATACAAAACAAACAAAGAAGTTTACAACGGAACGCACAAACAAACAAGGTAAAAAAAAAACAAGTTTAACGAAAAAAAAGTTTATCAACCCCCCAAAACAAGTTAACAACCAAAAAAAACAAAAAAAACAGACAAGTTAACAGGCAACAAACAAAACAAGTTAACGAGCAAATGGTTAACAAGCAAACCAACAAACAAGTTACCAAGCACGAAGAAAACAATTCAATAAAAACAAACCAACAAGTGAAAAATCAAACAAACCAACAAAACAAACAAGTGAAAAATCAAGCAACCAACCAAGCAAATAAGAAAAAAAACAAGCAAACAAGTAAAAAATCAATCAACCAACCAAACAAACAAGTAAAAAAAGCATTTGAGTTTTCATTTGTTTGAAAACTCAAGCAACCCGCCAGCCAACCAACCAAACAAATAAACAAGTAAACAGCAGGAGAGGCAAGAGTGGGAGCAGAAACAGCTGGTAGAAAACCGGTTGCGAGTTGAGGGGAAACTGAGGCTTTTGGGGGAAATTCCAGACAAACGTGATTTTTTCCCCTAAAAGAATAGGGGAAAAGGGGAAAAGTGACTTTTTCCCCTAAGAGAATAGGGGAAAAGGGGAAAAAGTCATGCACGAACAAGCTTGTGAAGGGATGGAAGAAAGTATAAAGAAATAATAGAAGAAAAGGAAGAAGTCAAAGAAAGAGATGAAATAGCGGTAGGAGAAGATAAAGAAAAGAAAAGATGAAGAAAAACAAGATCGAAGAAGAAGAAGGAGATAAAAGACAAATAATAAGAGGGAGAAGACAAGAGATTGCAAAGGAATCCGAAACCGCAGCCATTTGTACGTTTTCGGACATTTTCTCTCTTCCCGTCTCGTACGGAGGAAGATAGAAATTCCGGTGATAACGAACTGTTGATAAATGCACGAGTGAATAGGTAAATAGATAAAGTAAACATTGTAAAGAATTGTGTCTTTTCATTTTCTGTTATCTGATCAGTTTTCGCAATTTCCCTCCTGTTCTCTTTTCCCTTTCCTTGTCCGATTCCTCGTCTTCGTCTTCGTCTATTTTTTTTCTTAAGTCTCCTCCTCCTTTTCCCCTCTTCTCTTCCTCCTTGTCTTGTTCGTGTTCTTCTTCTTCCTCTTCCTCCTTTTCCCTTTCCTCTTCGGAGTCCTCTTCTATTTCGTTTTTTTTTTCTCTTTCCTCCTCCTCCTACTCTTCTTCCTCTTCCTTCTCCTCCTTTTCCCCCTCTTCCGCATCCTCCTTCTCCTCCTGCTCCCTTCACCCTACATCCTTCGTCCTTCTCTTCCCCTTCTTCTTCCTCATCCTCCTCTTCCTCTTTCTTCTCAAACTCCTCTTCAACCAACATCCTTTTTCCTTCCCCATTTCCTCTTCCTCCTCCTCCTCGTCTCCCTTTCCCCCTAACCTCCTCCTAAGGCTACATCTCCTCCTCCACCTCCTCCTCCTCCTCCTCCTCCTCCTCCTCTTCCTCCGTCGTCCTCCTCCTCCTCCCCTTCGTCTTCCTTTCCCCCTAACCTCCTTCGTCTCCTCCTCCTCTTCCTCTTCGTCCTCCTCCTCCTCCTTTCGTCCTCCTCCTCCTCCTCGTCCTCTCCTCCTCCTCGTCCTCCTCCTCCTCCTCCTCTTCGTCCTCCTCCTCCTCCTCTTCTCTTCCTTTCCTAACCTCCTTTCGTCCTCTCCTCTCCTCCTCCTCCTCTTCGTCCTCCTCCTCTCCTCCTCCTCTTCCCTTCGTCCTCCTCCCCTCCTCCTCCTCTTCGTCCTCCTCCTCCTCTTCGTCCTCTCTCTCCTCCCCTCCTCTTCCCTCTCCTCTTCCTCTTCGTCCTCCTCCTCTCTCCTCTTCGTCTTCCTTTCGTCCTACTCCTCCTCCTCCTCTTCGTCCTCCTCCTCCTCCTCCTCCTTCCTCCTCCTCCTCTTCGTCCTCCTCCTCTCCTCCTCCTCCTCCTCCTCTTCGTCCTCTCCTCGTCCTCCTCCTCCTCCTCCTCCTCCTCCCTCCTCCTCTTCGTCCTCCTCCTCCTCCTCCTCCTCTTCTCCTGTTCGTCCTCCTCCTCCTCCTCTCCTCCTCCTCCTCCTCCTCCTCCTCCTCCTCCTCGTCCTTCCTCCTCCTCCTCCTCCTTCTCCTCCTCTTCGTCCTCCTCCTCCTCTTCCTCCTCCGGTGCCTAAAAATCGTAAATTACAATTAGGAATGCTGACGTCACAGGATGTGTATTTCTGGTGAGTTTTGAATAGAGGGGAAAGGGGGGGGGAGGGAGGGGAGGGTTGATGACGTCATCGAGAACTGTGGAGGTCGATTGCTCCTCGTGCTCTCTCTCTCTCTCTCTCTCTCTCTCTCTCTCTCTCTCTCTCTCTCTCTCTCTCTCTCTCTCTCTCTCTCTCTCTCTCTTCTCTCTCTCCTCTCTCTCTCTGTCTCTCTCTCTCTCTCTCTCTCTCTCTCTCTCTCTCTCTCTCTCTCTCTCTCTCTCTCTCTCTCTCTCTCTCTCTCTCTCTCTCTCTCTCTCTCTCTCTCTCCTCTCTCTTCTCGCTCTCTCTCTTTCTCTTCTCTTTCTCTTCTCTCTCCCTCTCCCTCTCCCTCTCCCCCCCCCCCTCTCTCTCTCTCTCTCTCTCTCTCTCTCTCTCTCTCTCTCTCTCTCTCTCTCTCTCTCTCTCTCTCTCTCTCTCTCTCTCTCTCTCTGTCTTTTTCTCTTTCTCTCGCTCTCTTTCATTCACACTCTCATTCACTCTCACCCCCCTTTCTATCTCTCTATCTATATATACATGTATTTATACACGGCACGCGTGTAATAGATAATTATATGTGTGTGTGTGTGTGTGTGGTGTGTGTGTGTGTGTGTGGTGTGTGTGTGTGTGTGTTTGTGTGTGTTTGTGTGTGTGTGTGTGTGTGTGTGTGTGTGTGTGTGTGTGTGTGTGGTGTGTGTCTGTGTGTGTGTGTGTGTGTGTGCATGCATGCATACATATATATATAAACATACATACATACATGCATACATATATATAAACATACATACATATAAACATACATACATACATATATACACCTGATATATGTATGCATATATATGTATGCACATATCCGTGCCTTTGCATGCACACGACAATTTTAGCAGCAGGAATGTATGAGCAACTTGGAAGACAGATGCACGGTCGCTCGCTCTTCCTTACGACTCTTTTTTCCCACATGTTTTTTCTTCTTCCCAACTTCGGCGAGGTTCAATTGCTCTGGCTATTTACGGGTGGAAACATTTTGAGAATTTTAACTGCAGGAGTTGATGATGCCAGTTGTTCGTCTTTCCCGCGTGACGTCGACTCGCTCCGGCGTTCTGATTGGCTAGCGCGTGTCTGGGGGGAAGGGAGGGGGGTAGGTATGTGCTTGGTGCTGATTGGCTGGTTTTGGCGGGATGAATTTCACGTTTTGGGGATGGAGAGACGTGATTGGAGGAATCTTTGTCTTCGGGGGTAATAATTACACGCTCATTAGCCAATCAGAGGCGTGAAGGAATTTTGGAGGGTGGGGGGAGGGGGGAGAGGAGGGAGAGACCTGCAAACGCGAGAACCAAGTCGTTCTCGGTTCGTATTTATATTCGTTTGTTTATTTATTTGTTTAAACATTTTGCTGCGGGAAAATAGGTCACGCAGCGCCGGCCTCGGACTCCGCTATCGGAGGAAAACTTTTTTGCAGAGATGGAGGAAGTTGTTTTTCTCTCTCTCTCTTCCTTCCTTCCTCGCCCCCTCCTCCTCTCCTCTGCTCTTTCCCCTTTCCCTTTCTCGTCTCTTTTCCGCTCTTCACCCACTCCTTATCCCCTATTCCCTCCCATTCCCTCGTTCTGAATCCTCCCTCCTCCCCCTCTTCCCTCTCCCTTCCCCTCCTCCTCCTCTTCCCTCTCCCTTCCCCTCCTCCCCCCTCTTATTCTCCCTCCCCTCCTCCCCATTCGTGAATATTTCTCTCCCTCTCTTCCTCCCTCCCCCTTCCCTGTATCCCATTCGCCTCCTCCCTCCCCCTCCCTCCCTTCTCCCTGAAACCTCTCGTCTCGGTTTCGCGGACTTGGAAGCCTCGAGCGATGGCCTCCTTGTTGTTTTTGGACGCCATTCACCCTCCCCCTCCCTCTCCCTTTCCCCTCCCTCCCCCTCCCCTTTCCCTCGCTCCCCTCCCATCCCCTTCCTTTCACCTCCCTTCCCCTTCCCTCCCCCCTTCCCCTCCCCTTTCCCTCCCCCCTCCTTCCCTCTCCCCCTCTCCCCCCTCCCCTTCCCCACCTCGCTCCCCCTCCCTCCACCTCCTCCCCCGTCCCCCCTTTTCCATCCCCGAAGCAAGCAAAGCAGAAAATGGAGGCCGATGGAGGCGAAGAAGCGAGGAGAGAAGAGGAAATTGGAGGTTTGATGACGGACGGGGAGGAAGTGGAAGAGGGGAAGGAGAACGGGGGAGGAAGAGGAAAGGAAGTAAGAGAGAGAGAGAGAGGAGAAAGAAGAAGAGGGGGAGGAGAGAGAGAGGGGGGGAAGAGAGGAGGCTGAGAAAGAGAAGAGAGGGGAAGGGAGAGAGAGAAAGGGGAAGAGAGACAGCCAGAAACAGACAGACAGAACAGACAGAGCATAAAAAAGAAAGAGACAGGAAGGAAGATTGGAAGGACGGAAGAAAGAGAAGAAGAAAAAAAGATACACACGCTCATCTATTCCTTACCTCATCCCCCCCCCCCCCAAAAAAAAAAAGAAGAGAAGAATAACAAGAAGAGAGAGAGAGGAAGAAGAAGAAGAAGAAGAGAGAAAGAGAGAGAGGAGAGAGAGAGAGAGAGAGAGAGAGAGAGAGAGAGAGAGAGAGAGAGAGAGAGAGAGAAGAAAAAGAGAAGAGATTCGTGAAGGCAAAGAATTCGGTTGGTTGTATCGGGACTCCGCCCAAAATAGCCCTTCAGGAAGAGTTCCCGAGGCGGACGAAGGCAGAGGAGCGGTGGTTTTTCTCCCTTTTTTTTCCTTTTCTTTTCTTTTTCTTTTTCTTTCTTTTACTCGTTTTTTTTTCTTTTCTTGTTATTTTTTTTTATTTACTCGCTTTTTTTTTTTTTTTTTTTTTTTTTTTTTTTTTTTTTTGCTCGAGGCGATACGAAACGCTTGGAAACGTCACCGAAATGGAATAAGTTTAGTCGTTCGATTTGGTTCGATTCCGATAACGAAGGGCGGGAGGGAGGGAGGGAGGGAGGGAGGAGGGGGGAAGGCGGGAGGAGGGAGAGAGGGAGGGAGGGAGGGGAGGGGGGGGGAGGGGGAGAGGGGGAGGGAGGGGGAGGGAAGGAGGGAGGGGGAAGGCGGAGGAGGAGGAAGGGGGAGGGAGGGGAGGAGGGGGGAACGGGGAGTGAGGAAAGGAGGGAAAGGGGGAACGGGGAAGAGAAAGAGTGAGGGAGGGGGGGAAATAACGGCGGAGAGTAGGAGGGAGGATGGGAGTGTCAAAGAGATGGAGAGTGGAGGGGTCAAGGGACGGAGGGAGGGAAGGGAGAGGGAGGAGAAAAGGGGGGGGTAGAGAGGGAGACGGGGAGGGCTATGTCGTTCTTGTAAAGGTAGGCCTATCTATCTATCTATCGGATTTAGGAAGATAATCTGTCTTAATTCCTCAATAGCGATAGATAATCTCACTTCTAGACTCTTGATAGATAATCGATCAACTTCAAGGTCACGAAGATAAGGCCTATTTCGAGAACATATCCCCGTGAAATAGGATCCCATAGGCCTATTTCCAGAATGTATATCGGCTGAATAAAAATAGGATTCCGTCGACGATAGGCCTACGTCGATAACAACTCCCCACCTTAAGATAGTATCCTCTCCTAAGGACGCTGGCACCTCCTAACTGGCCATTCCAAAGGGCCGGAAGAGTGCCAAGGTGGGTATAACGAGGAGAGGGGGGGGGGGGGGGGCACGTGAAGACCCACCTTGGCGCGAGGAAATGGCGGTTCGACTCCGGCACGAGATCGTTTTTTTTTGGCGGGAAATTTTGGTCGAGAAGCGCGAATTTGTGTCGGGTCAGTGAACTGTCCCTGGGGTGGAACCGTGGTGGACTGAGGGGAGAGTGGGGAGGCAGGGAGAGGGAGAGGGATTCAGAGAGAGAGAGAGGGAAAGGAGAGACAGAGACAGATAAAGAAAGAGAGGGAAAAAAGAGAGAGAAGAGAGAGAGAGAGAGAGAGAGAGAGAAAGAGAGAGAGACAGAGACAGACAGACAGACAGACAGTCAGACAGACAGACAGAGAGACAGAGAGTCAGAGAGAAGAGAAAGAGACAGAGACAGAGAAAGAGAGAGAGGGGAAAAGAGACAGAGACAGAGAGAGAAGAAAAGAGGAGCAGAGACAGAGTCAGAGAGAGAGAGAGACAGAGAGAGACAGAGAAAGAGAGGAGAGAGGAGACAGAAAGACAGAAAGAACAGAGAGACAGAGACAGAGACAGAGACAGAGAGAGAGAGGAGACACACGGTGATGAAGACAAGGTTCCTTTGACTCCGGCCTTCCTTGGTCGCCGTTTCCGGATCGTCAGAAGGAACTGGATCTGTTGCAGGGTTCGTTTTTTTTTTTTCTTCTTCTTCTTCTTCTTCTTCTTCTTCTTCTCCTTCCCTTCTCCTTCTACTCCTCCTCCTCCTTTTTTCTTCTTTTACCCTTCGTCTTCTTTTTCTTTTTATTTATCTATTTTTGGATATATTTTTATTGTTTTTGATTTTATTTGTTTATTTATTTATTGTGTTTTTTTAATTTTATTTTCTACATGTTTTATCGTTTTTATTTTGAAATTTTTTATGTTCTTTATTTTGTTTCTCTCTTTTGTTGTTTTTGCTTTCTTCTCCGACTTCGAGACCTTTTTATTTATTTTATTGTTTGTTGTTTTTTCGTCGATGTATGCACTTCGTTGGGTCATCGGTCGATTGACCTTCAATACCTTGTGACCATCGCTTTNATAAGACCAGATAGATAGATAATATATAGATAGTTATATGTCCCTCCTCTTCTCCTCTTCTCCTTTTTCCCTTCCCTGCCTTCCCCCCCTCCTCCCTCCCTCCCTTCCCCTCCCTCACCTCCTCCTCCCTCCCCTCCCTCCCTCCCTCCCTCCCCTCTCCCTCCCTCCTCCCTCCCCCCCCCCCCCCCGTTCCCTCCCCCCTCTCCCCTCCCTACCCTCCCTCCCTCCCTCCCGGCCCTCCCTCTCCCCTCCCCCCTCCTCCCTCTCTCCCTCCCTACCTACCTCTTTCCCTCCTTCCCTCCTTCCTTCCCTCCCTCTCTCCGTCCTTTCCCTCCCTCCCTCTCTCCCTCCCTCCCTACCTCTTTCCCTCCCTCCCTCCCTCCCTCCCTCTCCCTCCCTCCCTCCCTCTCCCTCCTCCCCCCTCCTTCCTTCCCTCCCTCCCCCCTCCCCCCTCCCCCCTCCCTTCCCTCTCTCCTCCCTGACGGCGAAAGACTTCAGTGCAAGCGTGGGCAACAGAGGCTGAGGTCCTGTTAAACTTAACCTACCTTGGTCTGACCTTGTCTTCCGCCACCTCCGCCCTCTTCTCTCCTCCTCCTCCTCCTCCTCCTTCTTCTTCTTCTTTCCTTTTTTTCTCTTCCTTCTCTTCTCCTTCTACTTCTTTTTTTTCTTTTTTCTTTTTTTTGCTTCTTCTTCTTCTTCTTCTTACTCCTTCCTCCTTCTCCTCCCTCCTCCTCCTCCTCCTCCTCCTCCTCCTCCTCCTCCTCCTTCCTCCTCAACTCTTCCCATCTTTCCCTTTGCTTCTTCTCCTCTCCCACATCGCTTCTTCTCTCTCACCTTGGCCCTCCTCTTTTCCCCACTGCTTGTGTTCTCCTCTCCCTCTCCTCTCTCCCTTGAGCTCCTTCCCCTCTCTCCTCTGTGTATCTTCCCGTCTCCCCTTCCTCTCTCTCTCATTTGCTGCTTCCCCTTCCTTCTTTTCCTCTTTTTCCCTTCATCTTTCCCCTCTCTCTCTCTCTCTCTCTCTCTCTCTCTCTCTCTCTCTCTCTCTCTCTCTCTCTCTCTCTCTCTCTCTCTCTCTCTCCTCTCTCTCTCTCTCTTTCTCTCTCTCTTTCTCTCTCTCTCTCTCTCTCTCTTCTTCTCTCTCTCTCTCTCTCTCTCTCTCTCTCTCTCTCTCTCTCTCTCTCTCTCTCTCTCTCTCTCTCTCTCTCTCTCTCTTCTCTCTCTCTCTCTCTCCTCCCCCTCCCCCTCTCCCTCTCTCTCTCCCTCCCTCTCTCCCTCGCCCCTCCCCCTCTCCCTCTCCCTCTCCCTCTCCCTCTCCCCTCTCCCTCTCTCTCCCTCTCCCTCTCCCTCTCCCTTCTCCCTCTCCCTCCCCCTTCCCTCCCCCCTCCTTCCATTCAAGTTATTCTCTATCGTACCCCAGCCCTATATTTCCAAGACCGCACTTCCAGTACCGTATCCCCAGTGCCGTACCCCTTGCAATTTACACCCCGCCCTAGTGCCATATACCCATTACCGAATGCCCCTGTACTGTACCCCAAGCACCTTACCCCTAGTACCGACCCCCCCAGTACCGTTACCCCCAGTACTGTACCCCCTGTATTTACTCACTGTACCTAGTGCCGTACCCTCAGTATTTTAACCACTGTACCGTACTCCCTCTACCTTAGCTCCAGTACATTACGTCCTGCACCGAATCTCCAGTACCAAACCCCATGTACCGTGCTCACAAAACCGGAATCGCAGTACCCTTCCCCCAGTACTGTGCCCCATGTACCGAAGTCCCAGTATTGTACCCCATATCGAGTCCCCAGTACTGATACCGCCCCAGTACTGTTGCCAGTATTGTACCCCATCCCTGTATCCCATGTACCTACCTCCCAGTACTACCCTACCTACCTCCCAGTACTGTACTCCAACCTACTTAACTCCATGTACCTACCTCCCAGTACTGTACCCCAAGTACTGAACCCCCAGTACTGTACCCCATGTACCGAAATGCCAGTACTGTACCCTATGTACCTTACTCCCAGTACTGTACCAAATGTGCCGAACCCCCAGTACCGTACTCCCAAAACCGGAACCCCAGTACCCTTCCCCCGGTACTCTACCCCACTTACCAAACCCCGTTCGTTTCGTCCACCACGACTTCCCGCCGGTTTTGTCTCCTTTTTTATATTTATTTGACTTTTTTTTTTTTTTTTTTTTTTTACTTTTTTTTATTTTTTGATTTTTTTTTTACCTTTTTTTACTATTTTATTTTACTTTTTTTTTTTTTTATTTTTATTTTTATTTTATTTTTTTATTGTTTTAAATTTTTTTATTATTATTATTATTTTTTTTTTACTTTTTATTTTTTTTTTTTTATTTTTTTCCTTTTTTTCTTTTTTTTTTTTTTTTACCCTTTGCTCGCGTAGAGGGAAGGAAAGCGAAGGGCTGGAGGAGAGAGAGAGCACATGCGCCTGTGGCCGCTGGAGTAATTGCGGTGGGGGGACGGCGGGGCTACCTGTGGCTGACACCGATCCCCGGGTGACACTGGCGAGAGCGGTGGGGTGGGGGGGTGGGGTGGGTGGGGGTGGGGGATGTGTGTACTGTGTGGGGGCTTTTTGGGGTTCTTTCGTTTTTTTTTTTTTTTTTTTTTTTTTTTTTTTTTTTTTTTTTTTTATTTCTGTCTGTCTCTTGTCTTTCTTTTCTTTGGTTCTGTCTCTCTGTCTTTCTGTATTTCGATCTTCTGTCTGTCTGTCAGTCTCCTCTCCCTGGTCCCTCTCCTCTCTCCTCTCTCTCTCTCTCTCTCTTCTCTCTCTCTCTCTCTCTCTCTCTCTCTCTCTCTCTCTCTCTCTCTCTCTCTCTCTCTCTCTCTCTCTCTCTCTCTCTCTCTCTCTCCCTCTCCCTCTCTCCCTCTCCTCTCTCTCTCTCTCTCCTCTCCTCTCTCTCCTCTCTCCCTCTCCCTCTCTCCTCTCTCCTCTCCCTCTCTCCCTCTCTCCTCTCTCTCTCCTCTCTCTCCCTCTCCTCTCTCCTCTCCTCTCTCTCTCTCTCTCTCTCTCTCTCTCTCTCTCTCTCTCTCTCTCTCTCTCTCTCTCTCTTCTCTCTCTCTCTCCTCTCTCTCTCTCTCTCTCTCTCTCTCTCTCTCTCTCTCTCTCTCTCTCTCTCTCTCTCTCTCTCCTCTCTCTCCTTCCTCTCTCTCTCTCTCTCTCTCTCTCTCTCTCTCTCTCTCTCTCTCTCTCTCTCTCTCTCTCTCTCTCTCTCTCTCCTCTCCTCCCTCCCTCCCTCCCTCCCTCCCTCCCTCCCTCCCTCCCTCTCTCTCCCTCTCCTCTCTCCCTCTCCCTCTCCCTCTCCCTCTCCCTCCCTCTCCCTCTCCCTCTCCCTCTCCTCTTCCCTCTCTTTCCCTCTCTATCCCTCCCTCCCTCCCTCTCTCCCTCTCTCTCCCCTACCTCTTCCTCTCCTTTCCTTCTCCCCATTTGTCTGTCATCTATCTATCTCTCCTCCCTTTTCTTCCTGAATATTAGAGAGAATGAATGAAAACCAAAAGAAAAACAAACAAACAAATCAAGAGAAGAATAAACGCATCAAGAAAAAGAGAATAAAGGAAAAGAGAAGAGCTAACGTTCGGAACCAGAACGGATAAGCAGCTGGGAGAACGGGGGGGGGGGGGGAGGACCTGCCACTTGACCTCCCTTGACAGCTGGGTCATTTGGGCGCCGGCTGACCCCGCTCTGACCTCGCGGCGGTGGGGGGAGGGTTGGGCGGGAGGAGAGGGGGCGGGAGGGGAATGGAGGAGGGTGAAAAGTGGGGAGGGATGGAAGGGGGGTGAGAGTAGGGGAGAGGGGAGGGAGGGAAGAATATGGGGGGGAAAAATGGAGGAGGGGAGAAAGGGAGGGTAGGGAAGGGCGAGGAGAAAAGGGAGGGAGAGGCAAGAAATGGGGGTGAGGAAGGTGAGAAATAGGAGGGGGAGGAGGGAAGATGAGGGCGAGATACAGAGGGCATGGAAGGGGAAGGAGGGGCGCGAGAGGAGGGGAGGGGAGTTGGATACGTAAGGTTGGGTGAAGGGAGGGAGAAGGAAGGTGGGGGATGGATGACGTAGGTGGGGAAGGTTGGGTGGGGGTGGGGGAGGAATGGGATGGGAGAGGGATGAAGTGGATGATGATTAGAGATGGGAGGGTGGGGGGTAGAGATAGGTAGGTAGGATGAGGAAGAAGAGGGAGGGAGGGAGGGAGGGAGGGAGGGATGAGGTTGGGCGGTAAGAGAGGCCTGTCTAGGGAGGACGGTGGGTGGGGGAAGGAGGTACGGGAGGATGGAGCGTAGTGGGTGGGGGAAGGAGGTACGAGGGAGGGAGGGGAGGGACGGGTGGGTAGGGAAGGAGGTACGAGGGGAGGGGGAGGGGGAGGAGTGGGTGGGGAAGGAGGTACGAGGGAGGGGGAGGGGGAGGACGGTGGGTAGGGGAAGGAGGTACGAGGGGGGAGTGGGAGGGGAGGGAGGGTGGAGCGTAGTGGGGGGGGGAGGGGGGAGGGGGGGAAGGGGTGGAGCGTAGCAAAACACGTGTGCCCGCCGACCCCGCCGGCCATGTCATCGGCTCCACTAACACCTGACCTCTTGCCTCTTGCTCTTCTCGCTCGCCGCTTTGTGTGGCTTTTTTTTTTTTTTTTTTTTTTTTTTTTTTTTTTTTTAATGGTAGGTATGCTTGCTTTTTTTCTTTCCCTTTTTATTTGTCAAGTTAAGAGATCTTTTTTTCAATCTTTCGGTTGGTCTTTATTTCTTGTTAAGTTTTTTCTTAATGTTTCGGTATTTTTTTTTCTTTCACTTTTATTTGTCTAGCTAAGAGTTTTTTAAAAATCTTTCGGTAGTTTTTTTTCTTTCCTTTTAATTTGTCTTGTTAATTTTTTTATATCTTTCGGTAGGTCTTTTTTTCTCTCTTTTTTCCGTTTTTATTTTTGTATCTGAATTTTGTTTGTTTGTTTCTGTTGTTGTTTTGGTTTTGGAATTTGTGGGTCTTGTGATTTGTGTGCCAAGGTCGGGCGTCGTCGTTCGTTATATTTTTTTTTTTGTGTTTGTTATCCCATTTCTGTTGTTTTTTTCTTTGATCGTCTCGTTTCTCGTGTTTTCATCATCATTATTTCCCTAATTTTCTCTGTCTACTTCGTCTCCTCCCCCTCCCTTTCCTTCTTTTCCCTCTCCGTCTGCCTGCCCTTCGCCCCTCCTCTCTCTCTCTCTCTCTCTCTCTCTCTCTCTCTCTCTCTCTTCTCTCTCTCTCTCTTCTCTCTTCTCTCTCCTCTCTCTCTCTCTCCTCTCACTCCTCCTCTGTCTCCCTTACCTCCCTCCCCTCCCTCCCTCCTCCCTCCCTCCCCTCCCCTCCCCTCCCGTCCCTCCCTCCCCACTTTCGGACTTTCACTTAGATTGGCTTCACTGCCTTTTTATTTCATTTAAAAAGCCTCCCCATTACTTCTTTTCCAGAGAATTCATTCGAGCTTGAATAGAAATCCGGTCAGAGGCTCTCGTGCGGGCGTGCGGCGCGCGCGCGCGCGTGCGGGCTGCCGGGTGGAAGAAGAATGGAAGGAAGAAATGGGGTTGACGTGTTGGGGGGGGGGGTGTTGGGAGGGAGGGAGGGAGGGAGGAGGGAGGGAGGAGTGAGAAAGAGCAGGGGGAGAGTGATTTAGAATGAGAAAGAGACAGACAGACAGACAGACAGACAGACAGACAGACACAGACAGACAGACAGACACACGACAGACACAGACAGACAGACACAGACAGACAGACACACACAGACACACACAGACAGACACAGACACAGACAGACACACACACAGACAGACAGACACAGACAGACAGACAGATAGACACACAGAACAGACAGAGAGATAAAAGGAGGAGATAAAAGGGGGGAAAAAAAAAAACAGTAATAACATGAAAATTGTGATGAATATGATGTGCAATATAATACGACCATTGTATGATGGATTGTTTCATGAAAGGTTTATGCGAATATGATTAGCATTTAATCATTTCTTAATAATAACTATATAATAATAATAATAATAATAAATAATACTAGATAACGGTATATAGTTGTGGCATTCAAGCGTTTTAATAATGATTTTAAGTCGTATTTCCCGCTCACATTTCTCTCCTTCTCTCCTTTGGTCTTCTTCCTTCCCTTATGGATTCCCTCTTGTACTTTCACTCTTTCTTTCACTGTCCCTCCTTTTTTTTCGCTCTTTCACTTGTTCTCCCTCTCCTTTACCCTCGTTCTCTTTTTCTCCCTTTCTCTTTCCCTCTTTCAGTTCCTCTCCCTCTCCTTTTCCTTCTTTCAGTTCCTCTCCCTCTCCTTTTCTCTCTTTCACTTCCTCTCCCACTCCTTTTCCCTCTTTCACTCCCTCTCCCTTTCCCTTTTCTCCTTCCCTCTTTCACCTCTCCCACTCCTTTTCTCCTTTTCTCCTCCTCTTTCCTCTCCCACTCCTTTTCCCTCTTTCACTTCTTCTCCCTCTCCATTTCCCTCTTTCACTTCCTCTCCTTCTCCCCTCCATGTTCTTATCTACCTATCCTTCTCCCTCTCTCTCTTTCCCACTTCCGTTCCGGTGAGATTAAGGAGGACAAGTAATCGACTCCTTGCTGACAGTTTTTTTTTTTTTTAGACGCTCCATATGTCTTGACCATTAATTGTTTTTCTATGCCCTCTATCAAACTAAATCAATAAACTAAAAAAACACTTTGAAGAAGTTTATAGTGTAGGACTACTCCTTGCTGACAAAGTTTTTTCTTAAGGGCCATCTATCAATAAACTAAAATCAATAACTAAAAAAAATACATAAACTAGTGTAGGAATCAAGGTTTTTCTTATGGTCCAGCTATCAATAAACTAAAATCAATAAACTTTTGGGAAAGTTTATAATGTAGGACTGACTCCTTGCTGACAGAGTTTTTTTCTTAAGGGTCCAGCTATCAATAAACTAAAATCAATAAACTAAAAAATACATAGGGTAAGTTTATAGTTAAATGTCATCCCGTCGTCTTGGGTTAATGACAAATTGGCAACCGTTCTGTCAATTCTAAGGCATTTTTTTAATGATTGAGTTATTAGGAAATGTGAAATTCGACGGATAAGGGTCGTTATGGGCGTATGCGTCCAGGTGGGCGTGGGTGTGGACCGATAGGCCGTGCCGAGTTATGCCTTGTTGGGAACATGGGCGTGACGGTGCCAAAGGAGTGTGCACTGCGAGACGTATTGGGGTCTTGGCCTATCCTGTCTCCTGATGGGCGTGCGTGTCCTGTTGATGGGCGTGCGTGTCCCGTTGAGGGGCGTACGTGTCCTGTTGATCGGTCAGCTGTGGGCGTATCTTGCCAAGTTTGGGCGGGAAGCGGGGTTCACGGTGGGCGTGTGGGGCTTGGCGAGTCGTGATAAGAAATGGGCGGGGAGGGTGGGCACGCCTTGGAGAAAAAAAAAAATTGAAATCGCGAGGGTCGTCCGTCGTGGGAGCGCAAGACGTTTGAAAATAGAGATTGAATTCCTTTGGATCTTCCTCGAGAATATATGTAATAATAGACGGAATCCCTCGGATCTTCCTCGAGAATATACGAATAGTCTAATATGTAATAATATGTAATAAGAATAATATGTAATAAGAAACTCTATGTAATAAGTAGAAGGAATTATAAGAAAAGAGAGAGACGTAGGTGAAGCGAAGACGAGAGAGCAGCAGAGGCGGGAAAAAAAGAAGCAGGCAGAGGCAGCGGGATTCGAACCGAGGCGAAGATCCGAGGAATGTGAATCACGCCCGAATCGGCGCGGAAAAAAGCGTCGCAAGGGCAAGGTAGGGCGGGGGGGGGGGTGGTGGGTGGGTGGGTGGGTGGTGGGTAATGGAATCTCGCTAGACCATCGACAATATAAATTTTATTCATTACTTGTGGTTTGTTTGATTAAAAGACTAGCGCCGAGTTGTGGTGCATATGAGGAAGTCTGCATACGGGTAGTATAGAGCATATCCCATGTCGGTAATGCCTGATAATCTATAATAAAGGGGGGGATGGATATAGGACAAAGGCAGGGGGAGCCGGGGAGAGGGATGGGGCCAGGCAGGGGAGGAGAGGGGTAGGGCAAAGTAGAAGGGGAGACGATTAAGGCAAAGCAGGGGAATGGGAGATAGGGCAAGGCAGGGGGGAGAGGGGAGAGGGAGCAGGGGGGGAGGGGAGGCAAAGCAGGGGAATGGGGAGATAGACAAGGCAAGGGGAAGGGGGAGGGGCAAAGCAGAAGAGGAGAGGGGTAGGGCATAGTAGAAGAGAGAGAGAGGGTTAAGGCAAAAGAGGGAAATGGGGGGGGATAGGTCAAGGCAGGGGGGAGAGGGGAGAGGGGAGGGCCAGGCAAGGGAGAAGAGAGGGAAGGGAAAATTAGAAGGGAGAATTAAAGAATTAAAGAATTAAAATGAGAAAAAAATTTAAGGCAGAGCAGGAGAATGGGGAGATAGGGCAAGACGGTGGGGGGAGAGGGGGGGAGAGGGAGGGGGGAGGAAGGGGGAAGTGGGGGGGATGTTGCGTGATGCGTCGCTGGCACAGAGGAACAAGATCCACCGGAGGGAATCAGGGCGTGAAGGCTGGATTGTCGGGCCGAGAGTGTCAGCGCCGTGTGTGTGGCACGCTGGCATAGGCTCGCGGGGTGGCACGGGGAGAATCGGAGGTTTATATTCGGTCTAAGTTTGGTCTGGATTTGGTCTTAAGTTTGGTCTGGATTTGGTCTTAAGTTTGGTCTGGATTTGGTCTTAAGTTTGGTCTGGATTTTGGGTTTGGTCTGGATTTGGTCTTAGGTTTGGTCTGGATTTGGTCTGGATTTGGTCTTTTGGTCTTAAGTTTGGTCTGGGGTCTTAGTTTGGTCTGGTTCAGTTTGTCTTAGGTTTGGATTCGTCTTCCTTCTTCCTTCCTTCCCTCTGTCTCTCTCTCCTTCACTCTCCCACTTTTAAAGGCCCAAAACGAGACCTAGAGTTGAGGAGAGGAGAGGGGAAGGGAGAAGAGGTGAGGAGAGGAGGAGAGGAGAGGAGATGAGAGGGAGGAGATGAGAGGAGAGGAGGAGAGGAGAGTAGAGTAGAGAATAGAGATAAGAAAGAGGAGAAGAGAAGAGAGAAGAGGAGAGGAGAGAAGAGGAGATGAGAGAAGAGAGAAGAGGAGAGGAGAGTAGAGAAAAGAGATAAGAAAGTGGAGAGAGAGAGAAGAGGAGAGGAGAGGGTGTCAACGGGCACGCTTCCATAGGCTTCCATGGGTTTTCCCGACCGACTCGGATGTTTGGTCTAGATTTGGTCTAGATTTGATGTAGATTTGGTCTAGATTTGGTCTATAATTGATGTAGATTTGGTCTAGATTTGGTCTATAATGATGTAGATTTGGTCTATAATTGATGTAGATTTGGTCTAGATTTGGTCTTTGGTCTAGATTTGATGTAGATTTGGTCTAGATTGATGTAGATTTAGGCTCGATTTGATGTAGATTTGGTCTAGTGATTTGATGTAGATTTGGTAGATGTTTGGTCTAGATTTGTCTAGATTTGATGTAGATTTGTCTAGATTTGAATGTAGATTTGGTCTAGATTTGATGTAGATTTGGTCTAGATTTGATGTAGATTGGTCTAGATTGATGTAGATTTGGTCTAGATTTGATGTAGATTTGGTCTAGATTTGATGTAGATTTGGCTGATGTAGATTTGGTCTGATTTGATGTAGATTTGGTCTCCAGATTTGATGTAGATTTGGTGTAGATTTGATGTAGATTTGGTCTCGAGATGTAGATTTGGTAGATTTGATGTTTGGTCTAGATTTAGTCCCTAGATTTGGTTTGATGTAGATTTGGTCCAGATTTGATGTAGATTTGGTCTAGATTTGATGTAGATTTGGTCTAGATTTGGTCTAGAATTGATGTAGATTTGGTCCAGATTTGATGTAGATTTGGTCTAGATTTGATGTAGATTTGGTCTATATTTGGTCTATATTTAGTCCAGATTGAGCGGACTGGACTCTCCAAGGGGGGGGCGAGCGCCGTGTCCAATAACCTTGAACGGTTGTTTTTGACGGAGCGGCTGGACTGGGTGAGCTCGTGGGCGGATGGCGAGCTTGTTGTTTACGAGGTGGATGGCGTTGGATCAAGGTGTTCTGGCTCGGGTTGCCGTGTGTAATGGCACTCCCGAGGCCTATTAAGCAAGGGACGGGCGCAGGGGCTCGAGCTGGCAAAAAAAAAAAAAAAAAGAATAGTAATAAATAAATAAATAAATAAAAGGAAAAAAATAGAATGAGATGAAAAATTACAGGCAAGTAGATGAATAAATATAGTAATAATGATGATTTAGAAATGGATAAGAATAATAGTGATTAATAAAAATAAGAAAATATAGAAATAAGATAAATAAAACAGGCAAATAAATAGATTAATAAAATAATGATAATTTAGAAATAGATAAAAATAATGATAGTTAATAAAGATAAAACATACAAAAAG